TTTCAAAATCCGAATAAAATTTAGTAATATTTAATTTAGTATTTACTAAAGTATTACATAAATGAATAATTTCATTCCACATTAATTCGTATTGTTCAGTAGTTTTAGATGATAAAAAACAAAATGCGACGGGTACATAAAATTTTTGCTTGTATACGTGAAGTGTATATAACTGAACAAAATGTTTTGGGGAGTAAGAAAAAGTTCCATCACCAAATACATATTCAGAACCACATAATAATTTAAGATTAGTTGAGCATGTAATTATTATCATATTTTTTTCTYGATTAACAAAACAAAACTGTTCATCGTTAGAAGTAATAATATTTTTTTGAATTTCAAAAAGCTGTTTATACGCTTCGTCTATGGTATGAGGCAAAGTAGGAAAATGACGTTTTCTKACACGATATATACACTGCCTAATAGATGATAAATCGGAATACAAAATTTCGTCTTCAGGTTTCGGAAGTAAAGTTGATCGTATMATTTTACCTGGTTTTGAGTTTAAATCTATATCTGCTTTTCTTTTTACAGCACTTTTCACTTGATTTAATGCTAAAGTCTTCGGAGTACAGGCTGGATGATTATGAGATGTATTATTAAATTTAATAATATTAGACTTATTTGGTGACATTAATACACTAGATCCACATTTTTTATTTGCGCACCGAAAACGTACTGTACTATTTTTTTAAATATTTGATTGGCAAAATTTATAATTTTCAATCACTATAATTTCATTATTTCTTATAGAATCGAATTTAGCTTCAACTTTCGTATCCATTTTATTAAAAATTTATAAGATATTATATATTTATTAGGATTTGAAATTTAAACTCTCCCGACAACTTTGACGTAAAGACTAAATACCTAGTAAGTGTCATAACTGTTCTATATTCTTATATATATACCATTATACTGCGTTTATCATCAAAATAAAWGTCTTTATTCAKTATCTGATTAGATTAGATATGAGCAGAACATAAATACCTTAGATCATATACTATGGATGAACTTTGTCTCCGTCTTATTACAATCTAACAAATTATTGTTCTTTATCTTTATTTGTAAATTGGTTTTAACACTTTAAAATAGTTATTACCAGGGCTAGGATTTGTATGCATCAGCATTTTTTTTTGCTACGTACAAATTAAATTTAAATGAGTAATTTCCACGATTTATATTATTGTGATGAAGATGGTATTATTTTTATTTTGCATGTGTTTACATATATTGAGCTTAACGCATATTTTTTCATATTTAGTATGATCGTATTTATTTCAAATGTTAAATATATGTTACTTCCCTATTATTCAATAATTTATAAATTCGCCTAAACGATCGGTTAATTTCTCGCCCAAATGATACAGCTCTACTCAGGTAAATTTTGGGTTATTCGCCCAAATGAATGACGCCCATATTGGAACTATGTTGAGAATTTTATCACTCTTGTTCGTCCAATAGTTAATTGGATTACAATTCTTGAGAGTGATATGCCAAGACTTTCTGTAGTACCAGAAGCTTTGAATGAAATCAAACAACATTTTATAACATATATTCCAATTTCCCCATTACTTGAAGTAGAAGGAACAATGTTGCTAAAACAGATTGATGAACGTTATAACATGGCCATACATCCAATCCATTTTGCAGCAAATTTGGTTGACCCAAACTACCAAGGAAAAAATTTAAAAGATGGATGTGATGTTGAAGGTATATTATTCTTAAAAAACGTGGCAAAAGTTCTACTCAAAGACAATGAGTATGATAAAGTAAGAAAAATCATTAAAATTGTTGGAGAAAATTTATTTTACGAATCATAATGTACCTATTTTTAATTTAATTTTTTTTTTAGATAATGATTGAAGTTGCAGAATTCCGTGCACATGAAGGTTTTTGGGCAAAAGATGTTGTATGGTGCAACTATAGTGAAATGGATGCAAGGACATGGTGGAACGGAATCTGCTCTAATACAAAACTCTCTACAGTTGCCTCAGCTATACTTTCCWTACCGGCATCTTCAGCTGCTACTGAAAGGTYCTTTAGTGTTWATTCCCACATTCACAATAAAAAAAGGAACCGATTAACTAACACTAATGCCTCAAAACTACTTTTTATTCAAGCTAATATGAATAATATTGATTTCTTAAGTCCAGATAAAAGTAATAATAAAATACTATCAACTTCTACCAGTTCTACCAATTTAGTATCAAATAACTATGTTCAGTCAGTAAGTAAGGTAGCAAYAGATAGAGATCTGGAAAATGTTGATGAGATAGTAAATGAAGATGATAGTGAAGAGGAAGACACAGAAGAAGAAAATTATGATACAGAAGATCTAGTTGAATCTGATAACTTATCATCTGAACATAATGTTTTAAGTGATTGATGATGAATTTTATGAATCACAATTTAAATAGGTTAATAAATCTAACTTTTATTTTATTTAGGTATCTCAGTATCTGTTAAAAAATAAAGCAAAGTATGAATAAATTTATAA